GATTTTAATAGACACCGGGAACTCTTGGCCAGCAAACTGTCCTCAGGATTGCTCATTACGTGGAATTGTGTCTGGTTGACTTTGGAAGGAAAATCTTTTCCCCAGGCTCTCGAGTCCTATATTCATCAACTCCTGGGTTCGCTGAGTCATACATTCATTGAACTCAAATGTTCATAGGATTTTAATGATCTGTTTGTTACAAATTCACCTTTTGCTATTAAATGGCAGAATTCTCAAAATATCTGCCAACTGTGGAATAGGATAAACCACAGGTGAGAAGGTTGCGGTTTTGAAATGTGCTGTATAGCGCCCAGCACCGGCGATGGAACCTGCAACCGAGGTGCATGCCCTTGACGAGTTATCAAACGATCGACCCTGGTGCACCAGCAGATGCTCCAGCCACTGAGCCACACCGGCCAGGGCCAAAAGGGTACCATTCTGTCCTCTGGCTCAGACGAGCCCGACTCCCCATGGACCTGCTTGGGTGTCTCGTAGCGGACAGTAACTTAACTCTTTTTCTTTCTAGTTTCAAAGATCTGTGCTGCTGTGTGATTAAGATTTTTTTCTGTACCAAAATGTAAGATTCTGTTGGACTGAACTCCCGGTCACCTCCACGTGCCCTACCCGCCTTAAGGAAAGATGCATTCAATAGACTAAATCTGTGACCTCAGCTGACGCTCTCCTTTTCGTGAAAATAGGCTTTTGATGGGACGGTGCTGCCGGGAAAGCAGACATTGTATTCCCTGCAAATCCAAATCCATCACACATCTTTCCCTGGGGGCCATCTCCTTCCGATTTCCTTGGCTTTCATTTCTCTCCACTTTAAACAGGCTGCCAGAGCCAGTGTCTTTTAAGGCCATTCATTTTTCCTGAAAACAAATCCCAAAACGCCTCGACATTGGAGGACTTTATTTTTAAAACTCTTTCCCGGGAAGAGGCGATGTTGATTGCACAGGAAACCCTTATACTTCACGGAGCCATTAAACACGCTTGATGATGGGGTACAGAGACCAGCGTGATTGAAACCCCAAAAATAAATGAATGAGCTGCGTCTTGGAAATGAGCTCATTCTGCAGCCTGGCCTCATTTATATTTGGTATGAGTGCGACATTCCGGCTTACTGCTTGCAGTGCATTCAGAAAAGGTACAATTATAATTTAAATGTGGAACCTTAACGGCTCTGACTTGGTGAATTTATTAAGCAAGCCAGCTGAAGGGTTCCCAGTATGTAATGGGAAATGTACTTTAGGAAACGGGCTATTTGTTATCCCAAATGCCCTGAATTTATCCCTATGATACACGCATATCGATGATATAATTTTATAAATATGTGCCCTTTGTCATTTGAAAAGGGGGGATATACCAATGAATATGGGCCAGCTACTGGTCTAAACACTTCACATACACTAATTTGATTAGGTCCAGCTCATAACTGCCCCACGAGGTCGGTATTGTCATCTCTTTTTACAGATGAGGAAACTGAGGCCTCACAGCTGACAAACGGCAGGCTCAGTCAGACCCTGGCAGTGCGATTCCAGTGTTAATGTTATATTCACCCATCAGCAAAGATTGCTGCAGGAATGGAGTCAAAGCACTTTATAAAATACATACGAAGGACTGTCACTCAACGTCAAACGTGGCATTACACCAGTATTTCAGGAGAGCTGGAAGGCAAGCTAAAAGCCTCCTGCTTTTATTAATTGTTAAGCTTTTATTAATTATGAGTTAGCTCCTTTGAGGAATGGCAGGTCCGTGATAACAGTGCCGCCCTACAGTAGATTCATGAGCGTGGAGAATGTCACCTTACGTATTAAAATTAAAAACTGCAAGGACCCCAGACGAGTTTGTGTTACAAGGCTATTGAATTCATTTTTCTTATAGCTTATGCTCACTGCGTTTATATGAATGGCTGGGCAAGGGATGAGCACCGTGGAAAGTTTAATGAGCAGCATTTATTTTAATTAGGGGAGAGGCTTTTAAATCGTTTCCACAAGCTTCTCATCATTAAAGAAAATAAAGAATGCCCACAGCTTGTAAGTCTGGGCCGTGCTGTGAGACAGACCATGCTGCCTTTTCCGGATCCAAATGCTGGGCCCCCCCCAAGATCAGTGTCAGGACTTTCCCACCATCTCAGCTCCTAAGCTCCGCATCCCGTCCATGGCACCCCAGGTTCCCTCACCCCGAGCACTACCTCGCCACAGGCCTGAGTTGGACGGATCTTCACGGTCATCTAATGGCCAGTGTTTGCATCGCGTTTTCTCAGTACTGTTCCTCTTCTGAGGACTTGATAACAGTTAACTCCTTTAATCTTCCCAACCGCCCCTCATGGCATTATTTCTATTATCTTATTGCTGAGGACACCGAGGCAAAGAGAAATTCTGTGCCTTAGTGAGGTCGTTCAGCGAGTAAGAGGGAAAGCTGGGACTCAGCCCCATGCTCCCAGGTTCTGGCGTCCACACTCCCTGGGCCGTCCGGGAGAGACAGGTCCTGGCGTCCACACTCCCTGCGCCGTCCGGGAGAGACAGGTCCTGGCGTCCACACTCCCTGCGCCGTCCGGGAGAGACAGGTCCTGGCGTCCACACTCCCTGCGCCGTCCGGGAGAGACAGGTCCTGGCGTCCACACTCCCTGCGCCGTCCGGGAGAGACAGGTCCTGGCGTCCACACTCCCTGCGCCGTCCGGGAGAGACAGGTCCTGGCGTCCACACTCCCTGCGCCGTCCGGGAGAGACAGGTCCTGGCGTCCACACTCCCTGCGCCGTCCGGGAGAGACAGGTCCTGGCGTCCACACTCCCTGCGCCGTCCGGGAGAGACAGGTCCTGGCGTCCACACTCCCTGCGCCGTCCGGGAGAGACAGGTCCTGGCGTCCACACTCCCTGCGCCGTCCGGGAGAGACAGGTCCTGGCGTCCACACTCCCTGCGCCGTCCGGGAGAGACAGGTCCTGGCGTCCACACTCCCTGCGCCGTCCGGGAGAGACAGGTCCTGGCGTCCACACTCCCTGCGCCGTCCGGGAGAGACAGGTCCTGGCGTCCACACTCCCTGCGCCGTCCGGGAGAGACAGGTCCTGGCGTCCACACTCCCTGCGCCGTCCGGGAGAGACAGGTCCTGGCGTCCACACTCCCTGCGCCGTCCGGGAGAGACAGGTCCTGGCGTCCACACTCCCTGCGCCGTCCGGGAGAGACAGGTCCTGGCGTCCACACTCCCTGCGCCGTCCGGGAGAGACAGGTCCTGGCGTCCACACTCCCTGCGCCGTCCGGGAGAGACAGGTCCTGGCGTCCACACTCCCTGCGCCGTCCGGGAGAGACAGGTCCTGGCGTCCACACTCCCTGCGCCGTCCGGGAGAGACAGGTCCTGGCGTCCACACTCCCTGCGCCGTCCGGGAGAGACAGGTCCTGGCGTCCACACTCCCTGCGCCGTCCGGGAGAGACAGGTCCTGGCGTCCACACTCCCTGCGCCGTCCGGGAGAGACAGGTCCTGGCGTCCACACTCCCTGCGCCGTCCGGGAGAGACAGGTCCTGGCGTCCACACTCCCTGCGCCGTCCGGGAGAGACAGGTCCTGGCGTCCACACTCCCTGCGCCGTCCGGGAGAGACAGGTCCTGGCGTCCACACTCCCTGCGCCGTCCGGGAGAGACAGGTCCTGGCGTCCACACTCCCTGCGCCGTCCGGGAGAGACAGGTCCTGGCGTCCACACTCCTGTGCCGTCCGGGAGAGACAGGTGCGCCTTTGCGGTGCTCAGAGCAAACACGCCGGGTGCACTGCTCCACCCTGTGCTCTCTCCTCGGGCCCTGGAGGGTTGGACCTGATCACCCTGCTTAGATGGGGCTGAAGACGACGGTTCCCCTTCTGTAAGAGTGTGGCAGAGAGAACACACAGCCCCAGCCGGGCGGCTCAGTTGTTTGGAGTGTCGTTCATACACCAGGAGGTGGTGGGTTCGATTCCCGGGCAGGGCACATCCCTAGGTTGCAGGTTGGGGCCTGTTTGGGAGGCAGCTGATCATTGTTTCTCTCTCTCTCTCTCAAGTCAATCAATCCATCCATCAACCAGAACACCAGGTTGGGTCCCACGTGCACACTCAGTGCTCAGTCGGCCCTAACCCTAAACTCCCTTATTCATTCACTAGGCTGCTTTGTGTAGAGTCTGTATTGGCAGGGAGGTTGTATCCCTGGTGGTCTCTTGTGTTTGAGCCGTAGTGACGCGTGCAGTAGATGCGGAGCCCAGAGCCGAGCGTGAGCTGCCGGGTGCTCTCAGGACCCTTCCTGTCTCTGAGTCTCTCTAGAGCGAGTGCTTCCTTAAAGCAAAAGTCCTTGGCATATTTCATTTTTTTTTTTTAAATTAAAAAACGTTTAATACTGACGTTATTGCACGTGTGGCCTTCGCCACCATCACCGGTGGCCTCTGTTTCTATTTCATTCGTCAGTTTATTCTGTTCATTAGATTCCACATGTGAGTGAGAGCGTGTGGTGCTTGTCTTTCTCTGCCTGGCTTATTTCACTGGGCGTAATGCTCCCCGGGTCCCTCCCTGCGGCCTCAAAGGGCAGAGGTTCCTTCTTTTTCACAGCTGCGTAGTCTTCCACGGTGTGAATGTCCCACAGATTTTCTATCCACTCATCTGCTGGTGGGCGCGTGGGCTGTTTCTAGGCCTTGGCTGCTGTAAATTACAGGGCTATAAACATAGGGGTGCATCTGTTCTTTCTGATGGGTGTTTCAGGATTCTTAGGGTATGTTCCCAGCATGTTTAACAGTCTTTTAAGACACAAGTGTCCTAGTCCACTTGTATTCGTAACTTATCAGTTTTATACTCTGTTGCATTGAGAGAAACATGGGTTATACGCGTAGGAATTAGGTTATATATAATAACAGGGTTTGGTTAAGCAGATGTGGTTCAGTGCTTTTAGTGAGATTGTTATTACTCGAAGCACCTTTATTTTTTTTATTTTTTAAATGTCCCACATTTATACTGGTTAAATTCTAACTTTCTTTAACCTTTTTCTTTTGTTGCAAGATAATAGTTGGAGAGACTGCGGTGTTTTGCCTGCAACTAGCCACCAGGGATTTTGAAAACCAGGAAAAAACTATTCTAACTGGAGACTGCTGCTACATAAACCCCCTGGTGCGGAGAACCGTGAGGTTTCTGGGTACGTTTGCTGTCGCCGACCCCGTGTTTGCGTGTAAGCTAACCTTGAAAACGACCAGCATTTCAGCCGTATGCACACATCAGGTTATCTATGTTTTGAAATGTTTCAGTTCAGCTTTAAAAAGAAACAGGGTGCCCTGACCGGGCCGCTCAGTTGGTTGGAGCGCCGTCCCGGACACCAGAAGGCTGCGGGCGCGGTCCCCCGATGGGCAGCGTGCGGAGGCAACGGATCGATGCTTCCCTCGCGCATCGATGTTTCTTCCTCTCCCCCTCCTCTTTCTCTAAAAAATCAGTAAAAAACATATCCTTCAGTTAGGATAAAAAAGTAAAAGTAAAAAAAATAAATAAATAAACACGGCGTACCGGTTTCCCAGATTGTAAGACGCCGCTTCGGTTGTCCTGTTATTTTAAGGAAAAGGCAACCACACTTGGATGTTTCATATTCTTTAAGAAACTAAAAAATTGCATTTACCAAACACCGGCTTAGAATATATGCTCTTCTTTCATCTCTAGTCTTATAAACCTGCCACGCGTACAGACGGGGCCCGTGGCGGACAGCTCAGGGTGCGAGCGTGCAGCACGCCCACCTCTCCAGAGCGCGGGGAGCACCCCGGGAGGCGTGGAGGAGCCCCGTGTGGGGTCGGATGAATGACTGTGTTATGGCTCCTAACATATTCCCGCGCCGGCTTACTGTGAGCCGAGACACAAAACCCGGGGCGGAGGGTCACTCGCTGTGTCTGCTTCCAGGAATCTACACGTTCGGCCTGTTCGCCACGGACATCTTCGTGAACGCGGGCCAGGTGGTGACCGGGAACCTGGCCCCCCACTTCCTGGCCCTGTGCCAGCCCAACTACACGGCGCTGGGCTGCCAGCAGCTCACCCAGTTCATCAGCGGGGAGGAGGCCTGCACCGGCAACCCCGAGCTCATCATGAGGGCGAGGAAGACCTTTCCCTCCAAGGAGGCGGCCCTCAGCGTCTACGCGGCCGTGTACTTGACAGTGAGTATGGACCGCCCGCCAGCCTTGTGCTCCTGTTGCGCAGGAGTGACGTCTTCCCCGCAGTGGAAGCCCCATTAGCAGCTTTCTGTAGCCCATTTAATTAATTAATCAATTATTATTATATATATATATTTTAAAAATATGTCCTTACTGATTTCAGGGAGAGTGGGAGGGAGAGGGGGAGAGAGAGAGAAACATAGATCTGAGAGAGCCACAGCGACTGGTTGTCCTCCCGCGAGCGCCCTGACCGGGGATGGAGGAGCAAACCCGAAACCCAGGTGCGTGCCCTTGACTGGGAACCGAACCTGAGACCCTTGGGTGGGCCAGCCGACACTCTAACAACTCAGTAACACCGGCCAGGGCCATTTAATTTATTTTTAATAATAGCCGTTTGTACTGTGAATAAAATTAAATCAGTTGACTCTCATGAGATTCTGTGTGGGGAATTGATTGTATTAAAAATATAGCCATTAGCATTTCCATTTGAGGATATATTTGTCTTGAGATTAAATAGGGCTCATGGAAACAAATTTGTCCCGGTGCAGTCCACATAAACTGGCACTAGCACCATTAGTAGACGTACCCAGGCCTCTTAGCTGCTTACTCACGCTCTGGTGTTCTCTGGTAGGGCTGAGAAAGGGGCCCTCTTTCTCTAGAAAGTTCTCTTGCTGTAGAACTAGCTCAAAATGTCCTTGTCAGTTATGGTTGATCCTTGAGTCTTGAGGATTTGCCAGTAGTTTACTGTGGGAGCCCGTCAGACCGCGATGCAGGCCAGAGTCGCAGGCGGGCCCGAGCGGAGATGCCCATCATCGCGAGAGCTCCCTCAGCTCCCCGCCCCTCAGAGCGGAATGGCTCCACCTGGCTCCTGAAGGGGGACGGGAGCCCCTGACCTCCGCCCTCCCCTCGTGTGACCAGGACCTAACAAGCTCATGCTCCGCCAGGGGTGATGGTTCGATGCCTCATCTCCCGGGAGCCTGCCCGAGTCAAGCATACTTGCATTTTAAGTGCCTTAACAGGTAGGAAAAAATCATAGCACGTAATTCCCGTCATCAAGCACCCCCTAAACTGAGGCTATGTAGTTCAAGGTCAAGGTCATTTCCTGGCACCTGGTCCGCTCTGTTACAAAAGAGGTTACCTTCGCCTACGAGCTCGGTCTGCTTGAGCCATTTACGGAAAATCTTGGAAGGGGAACAGAGGACCTGAAATAACAGGTGGAAACCTCTCTGTAATAACGCAGAATTTTAGAGTCTGAAAATAGTAAGTTATTACTGAGTGCTGCCTGCACTAACCGAGCTGCAGGGAGCCTGCTGCTTTCTTTCCTTCGCCGAACATGCACGTCTCCAAGGTGAGCACCGGGAAACGCCCGTCAGAGCCGTGTCTCCCTTCTGTCCTCTGTCGCAGATGTACATCACCAACACCGTCAAGGCCAAAGGAACGCGCCTCGCCAAGCCCGTGCTGTGCCTGGGCCTGATGTGCTTGGCCTTCCTCACCGGGCTCAACAGAGTGGCCGAGCACCGCAACCACTGGTCCGACGTGATCGCGGGCTTCCTGGTGGGGGTCTCCATCGCCGTGTTTCTGGTGAGCACAGATCTGCCGCGGCGCGCTGGGCTTCTGACGAGCGCGTCCGGCCGCCTGTAAGAAACCCACGCGCACCGCTGGGCTTGTCCAGGTGCCGGGTAGCAGATGGTCACGGGGGTCTCCCAAGTCATTTATTTCTTCCCTCTTCCCTCGTTTGTTCTGCCTCAAGTGTGGGGATGGAAAAAAAAAAAAAGCAAATCTGCACGCAAAGGTGAACAAAATGTTTTCATATAAAACAGACCAGGGCTAAAAAACTCTCATTTCTCCCTGGATAGTTTTCAGGACTGGGGTGCTTGGATATTTTTAAAATTTCCTGGGCACGTTGCATCACGGTGCAGCTAGACAGCCCCAGAGACCCCGGCACCCTCCGCGGTACCCTCCCCGGGGGCCACAGGCCCTGGCCACAGTGCTCGCCAACAGGCAGCCTCACTCGTGACGTGACCCGGGGCCATCGGCAATGAGGTGAAATGCACCAGTCAGGGAAAGGCAAGGACCGTGTGATTCCACCCATAGGTGGAACCTAATGCACAAGGTAAACTAACAAACAGACAGACAGACTCGGGTACAGAGAACAGACGGGCAGTGGTCAGAGGGGAGGAGGGCTGGGCAAAAAGGTGAGGGGATTAAGCAAAGGAAAAAAAGTAAAAAAAATCAGTGCCAACTCCTAGGCCCCATCCTTCAGCCACGAAATGATCATCTTTAGGGAGGGCTGAAGGATCTGCTTTCTTTTTTGTTAATCCTTACCGAAGGATATTTTTTCCATTGATTTTCAGAGAGAGTGGAAGGGAGAGGGGGGGAGAGAGAAACATTGATGTGAGAGAGATGCTTCGATTGGTTGCCTCCTGTACACACCCCAACCGGGGCTGGGGGTCGAACCTGCAACCCAGATACCTGCCCTAGGCCGGAGATCGAACCGGGGACCCTTGGGTGAGAGGGCCGACACCCTAACCACTGCGCCACGCTGGCCAGGGCGGAGTGCGCATTCCCAGCAGTGCCAGAGCTTGATTTCTAGAAAAGGAGACGCTGGTTTCGCTCCAGTTCCGCCACCTCTGGGGTATAAGCAGTGGGAACAGGGTCAGTGCCCTTTGTGTAAAAGGTCTTCTGTTTCCGTCGCAGCCCCGTAAGCTGCAGCTGAAATGCCAGGTGTATATGGGACACGCTGAGAGACAATAACCTGGGTTAATTAAAAGGATGCTACTGAATTAGAGAGCGCCACTGTAGAGGGTGTATTATGAATGTTAGGGGGACCTTAAAGCGAGGGGAAAGAATTAGCATTTAAATTAACTTGTAGGTTAATCACATTGGGGAAAGGTTCACTTGCTATGAATATTTATAAGGTTATCATGTTATTTTTGGATTTATTTGAGCATAGACTATTACCTAATTTAACAAACATTTTGGAATAATAAAATTGTCATTTTTCACTGAGCTACGTATTAATTGATGAGTTTTCTTGAACACACACCCACTGGAGTAGCTGTTTCAGATTTATATGAGATAAGTCTGGGTGTAAAGCCATCTTTGACTTATGACTTAATATTCAAGTAATTTTAATACTTTATTATTATGATTAGATTTATTGAGCTACTCAAAAGGTCACTGTCATAGAGAGCACGGCTTTGCTTTAAACGACAGTTTTTCCTGAAATTCCAGGTTGTGTGTGTGGTGCATAATTTCAGAGGGAGGCACCCCGAGAATGAACACATTCACAGGGCCCATCTGGCACACGCTCCGGTGATCAGCATCCCCCGAGTGGAAAGCCCTCTGGAAAAGGTAACATCTGTACAGGTGATGCGTCATTTAAATTCGCAAATATGATCGTTACCTGGAGCAAATGAGCAATTACTCGTGAGCTTACCGCACAGTCATTTCCAATCGACTGAAACAAGCTCAGATCTAAGTGGAATTTAGCAAGAATTTGGTCACTGACGACACCGTGTTAGCAAAAGGTAGCTCGCGCTTAAAATATTTCTCTGAATCCTGCCTGCTAACAGCTGAGAGCCTGGAGTGTGTTCCAGACTCTGCTGTGGTTTCTAGAAAGGGAACGCTGGGCTGTGGTCTTACGCAAAGGCGAAGTAATCAGACAGTTTTGCTTGAGAATATATGTATTTCCATAAAATATGTTCTGCTTCTTCTGTGCTCCATTGACAGATGAGCCCTCAACAAGATGGGTTCGAACTGCACGGGTCCACTTACATGCAGATTTTCTCAATAAATACAGTAAATGTATTTTCTCTTTCTAGGATTTTCTTAATAGCACTTTCTCTCCTCCAGCTTACAGTGTGGTAACAATAGAGCGTATAATGCGTAACGTACGAAATATGGGCTCACCGGCTGTTACGTGATCAGTGAGGCTTCTGGTCAACGGCAGGCTATTTGTAGTTAAGTTTCTGGGGAGTCTGAAGTTATCCGCAGATTTTCCACTGCATGGGGGTTGGCGCCCCTAATCCCCACGTTGTTCAAGAGTCAACTGGGTTTGAGGAACTGCTTAGTATAATGCCTGGCACATAGGGTTCGATAAATATTTGTGGCGTCTTGATGTGTAAAGAGCAGGAAACACCGGCTCTCATCCGGGAGGCCCTGGGGGTCAGGTGGGCTGAATGGAGCCAGACCAGGCAGTGCAGTTTCTAAAGCTGGGCAAAGACTGAAAACCGTCCACCAGTATCCCTTCTCTACTTCTTCCCTTTAGCAACCGAACCCCCCGAGTCCATTGTCAGCCTCCCCCATGACTGCCTGGCTGCGGCCTGCACTCGCAGCTTCCGTTGCACTTGGGTGGGACGGCGCAGGAACGTCTAGACCAGTGCCCGTGAGCAGGGGGCTCACCTCATTGACGATTCTCGTCCTTAATATTCTCTGCCCCGTCTCACCAAACGGAAAAGGCGATGCCTGGGGTGATCCGTGATTTTTAAAGGTGACCAGCCCGCCTGACCGCCTGGGCCCCTGCATGAGCAGTCCGCGTACCAGACGGCCCTGAGAAAGAAATACGTTCTCCCCGTCTCTGAGCCACGGGGCTGCTCGCGTCTCTTTCCCAGGTGGCTCAGCCGACGCCCTGTTACAAAACACCCCCCCCCTCCCCCGTGCCCTTAGGAAATCCAGACTTCCACGTGGTTAAGCGATTTGCAAAAGTCTGCATCACTGATAAACAGCAAAGAAAATGTCAATGTAATACTTCAAGATTCACGCCGATGTGATAGAATATTAAAAATGAGTGACATGGATAAATTAGGTCTTACTTAACTTGAAAATAACGAGAGCGCAGTAGAGCTTAGGAAGAGACCTTAAACATGATTTTGAAGAAAATGGTCAGGGTAGCGATTTACCTGGCTCTGAAATGAACCTGCACTATAACCACAGTCTCCTGCTTTTTAACATATTTATTCGCATACGGGACCTTGAGCAGCCTCCAAGCTTCGCCAGACATTGATGCGCCATCCTGTCCTTCTCTATATGACATGATTTAAAAATTCCTGTTGTTGATTTTATGTTAATTCATTTTTATTTACAGTGAATTTTAAAACAGTAGATGGTGAAAGGACAAATAGTCTGTTAGAGTCTATAGATTGCAAGAGGTCGGTGTTCATGAACCTCTGTTCATTCACTTCTTTGTTTACGACACATTCATGCTCTTTGTTTTCGCTCCGGTGGTTGGGAAATGCGACGACTGAATTGAATCTGACTCGGTCCTTCCCTCTGCCCGCCGGGCGCCCGGGCACGCCCTGCTGAGCCCGACTCTGCCCTCCGCCCTTGCCCTTCCTGTTTCCCTGCAGCTCGGGCCTCCCCGTGCAGCTCTGCGGGGGCCACGTGCTCCCGCCCAGCAGCCAGGAAGGCGGGAAGGCCGTCGCCTACGGGAAGCCCACACCGGTTCTCTTCTCCTTGCAACAAGGAGTATCTGGAGTAAACTGCTCTTCAGCAGAGTTCACAGTGGGAACAAGTGACTGCGAGATTCTTCCCGAGGCTTGATCTTCACATCTGGTAGCTGGGGATCCTGCAGCTGGCCCTCCGAGGAGAGGAGGGGAGCCCGGGCTTGCAGTGCGCTCTGTGGGCCTGCACCGCCAATCCCCTCAGCATCTTGATGCCCAGCTGTCGTTTCTTGGCCCTCAGTTTTGTGCAGAGAAAGCTGAGGGTTTCCTTTAGAAGTCATGTACTTACGTAACCTCGCTTGTTCCGAGTACGTGCTTGATAAACTGCGAGGTGCAGCGTAATTACGGCGTGAGGCATCCTCTATTTCTGTGTCAGCGGTTTACGCCTTAATTACAGGGAGCTTGTCATAGACGTAATTACCGCGGTCTCTGTGGAAGAGTCATGGTTTCTCTGAAATGTTCGCTGAGCCGCTTGGTTCAGTGAGAAGAACCATCTGTGGAAGCCAGCCCCTCGTACCTCGCTGTCCACTAGGTGCTCAGTGACCGGAGACCTCACTACAGCTGTTTGTAACGTCCCATCTGGAAAGGCCTAACTGTGTGGGTAGCCAATTAGGAACTCCGTCGTGGGCCCCAGCACCTTATAGTATGGCTGCTCTGCCGCGCGATAGGGAGGAGGACTGGCTGGGCATTTCGGACAGTTTTTTTAAATTCTCGCCTGAGGATATGTTTACTATTATTATTATTAAATTTTAGGGAGAAGTGGAGCATGAGAAAGGGAGAGAAACATGGATTGGTTGCCTCCCACACAGGCCCTGACCGGGGATTGAACCTGCAACCTAGGTATGTGCCAGTATGTGCCCTGACTGGGAACCCAACCCGTGACCCTTCGATGCACCGGATGACGCTCCAACCAACGGAGCCTGGTTGGCAGCCTGGTTTGGCTCCATAATGACTGGGTAGGATTAGACAAATCCCCCTGTTCCCCGAACCTGAAAAAACGGATACAATTATGGTTCCTTTATAGGATAATTGAATGAACAGATACACTTACAGATAATTGAATGAACAAATACATTTACAGATAATTGAATGAACAGATACACTTATTGGCACACAGTAGGTGCGTAATTCAAGGTAGTTTCCTCCTGCAAGAGTGATGATTCCCTTCATAGGGTTTCCATTGTATTTCAGACTGGGATACTCCTAGACAGGCATTTCATGGACCGAAAGGTTTATGCAGATTGGCTCTGCCACACACAGAGCACATGGCAGAACATGTGACAGCAGAAAACGTTACACACGTGTCATCGCAACAGCAAAACAACCCGCCGGCCTCTTGCCAGGACGGGTAGGATGACCCGGGACGGTGCTCTGGGGGTGAGTCCCTCTGAGGTGGCAGAGCGCTGGCGTGAGTATGGACGGCAACCTATTTAAGGTTCGTTTGCTTTCCTCTAATGCAGGTCTGTGTTTTACGGAGCTGCTGAGCTACAATAGAAATGTTCCAGAGGAACTTGTCAAAACAGCTTTATTAGCGATCAGGTATTGGAGGACTTAGTGGAACTAAATAAGGTCCTATTTTCGGCATTCTGCCTCGGTCTGAGCTTTGAGCACTTGAAAAGTGTTTGAAGTAAATCACTGTTTGTGTGCTGTGCTCTGGTCTCCTTTGTCTAATTCAATTTTGCTTAAAAAAAAAGTCAATTGAACATGGGAGCTTAACAATGCCAACAGGCAGCAACTTTGCAGGTGAGAAAGACGCGCTCATGTTGTTCCTACTCACCGCGTTGCTTTCCCTACACGTGCTCCCAGGTGTTCAGTATTTATTGCTCCACACTCTTTATAAATTATAATATGCGATGCAAAAAATAAAAGCCTAGTTCTTTATTTCAGTTATCCACCAGGACTTGCATGAGAGCATCTTTTCAGTAAATGACTTCTGAACATAAACAGCCTTTCTCATCTCATTTGAGTGAATCAGTACCGAGGTGAGGACTGCATCTTTGAATTCTGTGACTCCGCAGTCATTAGTTAAGGGGACAGTCAAACCATAATGGATTAAGAAGAAATTTCCAGCTCGAACACACTTAGTTACACACGGAGACCTCTCACCAGCCGCCCCCTCCTCGCTCGGATCTGTTCCCGTGTGGTGGACAGTCCTAGAAACACACGTCACAGTCCGTCTGGGGCCCATGACGCTATGAGCACTGTAGAAAAACGTAAATTGCATCTGACTAAAGCAAGGAAAATAAACAACGACCCATCTACCATCTTAGGAAACAACCATGTCTTTGCTTGTTTGCTGTTTCCATTAAAGAAGCAACAAGTAATTTGTGCCTGTCGTTTAAAATGTGAAAATGTGGCCCTGGCAGGTGTGGCTCAGTGGCTGAGCGTCGTCCTGGGCACCAGGAGGTTGCCGGTTCGATTCCCGGTCAGGGCACATGCCCGAGCGTGGGCTCGGTCCCCAGTCGGGGGTGTGCAGGAGGGGAGGCAGCTGACCTAGGTTTCTCTCTCAGAGATGTTTCTATCTCTTCTCTCCCTTCTCTCTGATATCAATAAAAACATATTTTTTAAAAATGTGAAAATCTGGGTAAACAAAAATGAATTGGAGGTTTCCATCTTGTACCATAATCATCCTTGGAAATTCTTCTTCTAACGGCCCTCGAGGCCCGTGCGAGTTTGTGTGGGTTCCTCTAAGCCCCGGGTCCCCTCTGGAGCCCATTCTCGCTCATGGGAGAGTGTTTCACGGGTGTGGCCACAGATCAATACATACAATAATCACGTCAAGCGGAGCAGCAAAAGCTCATCTCCACCGAGAGCTTAGTACGGGTCTGGAATTACGCAGAGGACGTCACATACAAAATGTCCTCGTAGTTTTTATGGGGATTATTGAGTGTATTTTATTTCTGTTTTGCAGAGGAAGCGACATGACCAGGGTAAGGGACTTGCCCAGGTCACACGACTGGTCTGTGTTTGACGCAAGAACGTGGAACCGAACTTTCCACTTCTGACCCGTTCCCCATTTATCACGTCAGAGCGCGAACCCCCAGTCACTGTGCTGCACAGTGTGAGATGTGACGCTGAACCAGGCCCTCAGGCTGGCGTAGAGGGAGGGAGTCCGTCACTCCCAAAGGGGCAGGTTTCTGGGACCACACCCAGCGGTTCCCATCCAGTGGGCCTGGGGGTCCACACTGCGTCGGGCACCACCGTGATCTGGGTCTAGAGCCAGTGGTG